GGTGTTACGTACGAAAGTGAAATGCTTGGAGATGGAGGGGGTTGGTTTAGCTTGTCATGAACAAAAGTGAAGGGGTGGTTGGTAGTGGATGTAGGTGGTGTGGGATGGTTCGGATGGGCCCCTAGTAGTATCTCTGGGGGCCCCAAAATGGAGTGGCCCCTTAGAATTGTCCTAACGGCACCCCTGCCCTGCAGTCCAAGAGCGCTCACTCACTGAAGCTAAGCAGGGCTGAGGCTGGTCAGTATCTGGATGGAAAGCACATGGGAACACTAGGCTGCTGTTGGCAGTGGTGTCAGTGAGCAGGCAGGGGGCGCTCAACCTGTGGTCTGTGTGAGACCAATTGCCCCAGTGTAGTGAAGGGGACACTATACTGTCAGTGAGCGCCGTCTATCAGATGAGCTGTTAAACTGAGCTCCTGCCTCTCTGTGCTCATTAATAGCCCCATGGCACTTCTGGTAAAGAGTGTGTGTGTTGTCCTGATAGTTGTGTGTATTTTGTGTCTGTGATCCTCTGCTGTGTTTTCAGACTCTGCTCTTCAGCTCATCCGTCCATCATTGATCTGTGTTTCTGTTCTTCTGCTTCCTCTTGCTGTCTCGTATTACTCTCAGATCCTCTTCTATTTACAGAGCAGTTCAGTATCAGACACTGACCTCAGATCAGCAGCTGAATCCTGAATCAGTACAGACAGACACTGAGTGAAGGAGACGAATGTGCTAATTCAGTGATTCAGCAAAAATGTGCTTATATACATTTCCAGATCAGAAAGCTCAACATTGGAGAATGGCAAAATTAAAACATTGAATTTGTTGACAATTTATTCGTGAATTGGGATCTGGATCCCCCCGTAACTTATAAAATACTCTGAACAGATTAAAAACAAATACATTTCTTTTAACTTATATATAAACCACAGTATTGACAGAACAAAAGTGTAAAGTTTGGTGTGTGTGATCAGAATATAGACAGAATAAAAGTGTAAAGTTTGGTGTGTGTGATCAGAATATAGACAGAATAAAAGTGTAAAGTTTGGTGTGTGTGATCAGAATATAGACAGAATAAAAGTGTAAAGTTTGGTGTGTGTGATCAGAATATAGACAGAATAAAAGTGTAAAGTTTGGTGTGTGTGTGTGTGTGTGTGTGATCAGAATATAGACAGAATAAAAGTGTAAAGTTTGGTGTGTGTGTGTGTGATCAGAATATAGACAGAATAAAAGTGTAAAGTTTGGTGTGTGTGATCAGAATATAGACAGAGTAAACGTGTAAAGTTTGGTGTGTGTGTGATCAGAATATAGACAGAATAAAAGTGTAAAGTTTGGTGTGTGTGATCAGAATATAGACAGAATAAAAGTGTAAAGTTTGGTGTGTGTGATCAGAATATAGACAGAATAAAAGTGTAAAGTTTGGTGTGTGTGATCAGAATATAGACAGAATAAAAGTGTAAAGTTTGGTGTGTGTGATCAGAATATAGACAGAATAAAAGTGTAAAGTTTGGTGTGTGTGTGTGATCAGAATATAGACAGAATAAAAGTGTAAAGTTTGGTGTGTGTGATCAGATTATAGACAGAATAAAAGTGTAAAGTTTGGTGTGTGTGATTAGAATATAGACAGAATAAAAGTGTAAAGTTTGGTGTGTGTGATCAGAATATAGACAGAATAAAGTGTAAAGTTTGGTGTGTGTGTTCAGAATATAGACAGAATAAAAGTGTAAAGTTTGGTGTGTGTGATCAGAATATAGACAGAATAAAAGTGTAAAGTTTGGTGTGTGTGATCAGAATATAGACAGAATAAAAGTGTAAAGTTTGGTGTGTGTGATCAGAATATAGACAGAATAAAAGTGTAAAGTTTGGTGTGTGTGATCAGAATATAGACAGAATAAAAGTGTAAAGTTTGGTGTGTGTGATCAGAATATAGACAGAATAAAAGTGTAAAGTTTGGTGTGTGTGATCAGGATATAGACAGAATAAAAGTGTAAAGTTTGGTGTGTGTGTTCAGGATATTGACAGAACAAAAGTGTAAAGTTTGGTGTGTGTGATCAGAATATAGACAGAATAAAAGTGTAAAGTTTGGTGTGTGTGATCAGAATATAGACAGAATAAAAGTGTAAAGTTTGGTGTGTGTGATCAGAATATAGACAGAATAAAAGTGTAAAGTTTGGTGTGTGTGATCAGAATATAGACAGAATAAAAGTGTAAAGTTTGGTGTGTGTGTGTGTGTGTGTGTGATCAGAATATAGACAGAATAAAAGTGTAAAGTTTGGTGTGTGTGTGTGTGATCAGAATATAGACAGAATAAAAGTGTAAAGTTTGGTGTGTGTGATCAGAATATAGACAGAGTAAACGTGTAAAGTTTGGTGTGTGTGTGATCAGAATATAGACAGAATAAAAGTGTAAAGTTTGGTGTGTGTGATCAGAATATAGACAGAATAAAAGTGTAAAGTTTGGTGTGTGTGATCAGAATATAGACAGAATAAAAGTGTAAAGTTTGGGGTGTGATCAGAATATAGACAGAATAAAAGTGTAAAGTTTGGTGTGTGTGATCAGAATATAGACAGAATAAAGTGTAAAGTTTGGTGTGTGTGTGCTCAGGATATAGACAGAAGAAAAGTGTAAAGTTTGGTGTGTGTTCAGGATATAGACAGAAGAAAAGTGTAAAGTCTGGTGTGTGTGTTCAGAATATAGACATTAATAAAAGTGTAAAGTTTGGTGTGTGTGATCAGAATATAGACAGAATAAAAGTGTAAAGTTTGGTGTGTGTGATCAGATTATAGACAGAATAAAAGTGTAAAGTTTGGTGTGTGTGATCAGAATATAGACAGAATAACAGTGTAAAGTTTGGTGTGTGTGATCAGAATATAGACAGAATAAAAGTGTAAAGTTTGGTGTGTGTGATCAGAATATAGACAGAATAAAAGTGTAAAGTTTGGTGTGTGTGTGTGATCAGAATATAGACTGAATAAAAGTGTAAAGTTTGGTGTGTGTGTGATCAGAATATAGACAGAATAAAGTGTAAAGTTTGGTGTGTGTGTGTGATCAGAATATAGACAGAATAAAAGTGTAAAGTTTGGTGTGTGTGTGTGATCAGAATATAGACAGAATAAAAGTGTAAAGTTTGGTGTGTGTGTGTGTGATCAGAATATAGACAGAATAACAGTGTAAAGTTTGGTGTGTGTGTGTGATCAGAATATAGACAGAATAAAAGTGTAAAGTTTGGTGGGTGTGATCAGAATATAGACAGAATAAAAGTGTAAAGTTTGGTGTGTGTGATCAGATTATAGACTGAATAAAAGTGTAAAGTTTGGTGTGTGTGATCAGAATATAGACAGAATAAAAGTGTAAAGTTTGGTGTGTGTGATCAGAATATAGACAGAATAAAAGTGTAAAGTTTAGTGTGTGTGATCAGAATATAGACAGAATAAAAGTGTAAAGTTTGGTGTGTGTGATCAGAATATAGACAGAATAAAAGTGTAAAGTTTGGTGTGTGTGATCAGAATATATCACATAAATGTGTTTCTCAGCAGCAGAAAGAGAAGAGAAGCCCAGAAAAACACTGAGAGGAAGAGTTACGGCTGTGAGACGGAGCCAGGAGAGCAGAAACACACTCGCTGAGGGACACGTTCACCTCAAGAACACAATAAATCACAAACACAATCAATGATTAACACAATAAATCAACACTGCTGAACCAATAATCAAAAGTAGCCACAGTCAATCTGTTTCAGACCTCTACAGCTCCAGTTATTGAGTTTGCTGTGATATTTTTCTGATGTACGATCAAAATAAATAGTGATGAAAAAATCGATATGACATGTTGTGTATGTTTGTATAGGGGAATCCACTTTTTCTGTAGAGGAGGTCAACATGCTCATTTCAGCTGAATACAAGAGAGAACATGACAGAGCATAACTATAATATGCAATTATAATATACATTGACATAATTATTGATTACAACTGATATTATGATATTAGTTCACATCCGAGCTGTTTTCATTATGTTTTCATCATTGGATGCAGATTAACACACACACACTCTTTCTTTCAAACATACACACACAAATTCTCACGTATACACATACTCACTGACATGCATGTCTGACTTTCTGTGTGTGTGTGTGAGACAGAATCAGTGTGTGTCTCCTGAGAGCTGCTCCAGCTGCTGCATTATTCACAGCGCCACTGAAACTGAGTTTATACACACAAACACACACTCCAGTCTGCAGATACAAACACAACAAACACACACACACACACACACACACACACTACTGACTACCACAGCTTTATTATTACTAATCACATCACCTATTACACCATGCACACACACACACATGAACACACCAACATTCACTCACATTCACACACACAAGCAAACGCATGCATTTTCACTCACACTCTTCAACACACTATTAGTCATACAGTCGCTCACACATTTATCGCTTACATACACTTGCACAACCATGTATTTGCACACACACACACACACAAGCTATGTTTCCATCCAGTCTTTGGTGTGAAGCTCTACACTGAGCTCAGGTTCATTCTGCTCCACTGATCATTCTGGAGATGTTTCAGCAGCTTCATTGGAGTTCACCTGTGCTTAATTCAGCTGATGGACATGATCTGAAAAGGCTACACCTGTCTATATAAGGGCCCAGAGTCAACAGTGCATGACAAAGCACAAACCAAGCATGAAGACAAAGGAATGGGAAGGCTGGTGAAGGTTACAGAAACATTTCTGTTGCTCTGAAAGTTTCAGTAAACACAGCGGCCTCCATCATCCGTAAGTGGAAGATGTTTCACCACCAAGACTCTTCCTAGAGCTGGCCGGACATATAAGCTGAGTGATCGGGGGAGAAGGGCCTCAGTCAGGGAGGTGATCAATAACTCGATGGTCACTCTGTCTGAGCTCCAGCGTTCTTCTGTGGAGAGAGGAGAAGCTTACAGAAGGACAACCATCTGTGCAGCAATCCACCAATCAGGCGTCTGTATGGTAGAGCGGGCA